ATGTTCGTAGATGTTCATAGAAGTGCGATATTCGTATGTACGTGTGTGCATGTGTCATGACGTTTCATAGCGGTTTCCCCTAAGGGACAAACGCAATCTCTCCATTGAGCTACATCTTGTATGTGACAGAAAGCAGGAAGGAGAGAGGGTGAAGATGTGTCCAAGTATTTATAATTAATGTGAACCATGTGATAGGCTCCAGAATACATAACCAAATTTTGGCGGTAAATTGACTTTGAACTTTATTGCGTAGGCGTTGTAACATCGTTCACATATATTAGCCAATCAGAAGTCGGAATTTTAGTCGAAGTGATCCACTTGGCGTTTAGTTTGCACAACATTTGTTGTCAAGAGAAATATTACATGAAAAATTAATTGAAGCATTTAACAACAAATAGAATTCACTGAGTCAAAGAAAATTGTAATTAGGTAGAAGTTGAATATTAAAATACCTCCTCTTAGATTGAAAGTTGGGAAGTAAAAAGAGAAACTTTCAATATGTAATAAAGAAGAGGAAGTGTGTAATGATCGATGCTGTTTAAAATTGAAGGCGTGATTCCTGGCATGTTATCAGGTGAAGGTCACCGAAGGTAATTCCTGACGTATTATCAGGTGAAGGTCACGGAAAGTAATTCTTGATGCGTTATCAAGTGAAGGTAGATACATGATTCGACGAAATATGTGTACTGTGGTTCTTAGGGTGCTGAAGTTATATTTGGGATGAATGTATAGCACACTCTGAAAAAATTGCGTTGTATGTGTCGACGAAGTGTACACGTGTTTTATCATCAAAGTGAATTGCTGCTGACCGAACGCTGTTTTCTGGTGGTGATTTCTGCGGATTTCTACGAATGAATAGAAGTGAAAATTCAGGTGCAATTTGAAATGCTGTCCAGCGTTTAATTTAAATCCCTCCTTTATTCCAATGCTCCGCGTAATTCAGTAAGTCGAGATACGTACTCAAGTCGCGTAGAGAGTGCATGCGGATTTATGTTGACGAACAAAAAATTCACAGCGGTAGCGTCGTGGCGAAGTTGAAAAACAATTGCGTATTAATAACTAAATGTCGTCAACAAAGTTTTTATGTTAAAGTTGCGTCGTCGTATAGTGTAGTGACAGTGGGTCGTCCTAGGAATATGTCACACTTAATCTCTTCAGCGTAGGAAACTTTTTGTGCGTTAGCATGGAAGCTAAATTGAAATGTTGTAAGCAATGGCGTGAAGTGTCACACGTGCTGCAGAAAAATTGTATTTGCGCCTTTTTTTAGGTTTAGGATTAAATAGCATGTGATCGTTGAATGAAGTGACGGATGACGCCTATATGGTTGTATCTTCCATCGTAATGTTACTCTCTTAAGTAATGCAACAATGTTCTTCGAAAATGTTGTTTAGAAAGAAAATATTTTACGCGTTGGGGTTGTCCACCACCGACCCGTTGGAGTCACCATTTAGTGGCTGAGCCGACACACACATTTCAACACGGGGCATAATACTTAAAAACGAACATATGATTCGCAGAATTCCTAATATGCAAATCACAATAATTTCGCTTATAGCACATGATTTGCAAAGTGAACTGTAATCTAAAATTTTAGGATCTGAGCAGGAAATGAAATTGGCGAGCCAAGTTCAAATTCCGGACAGGAAATTAAACAAAATCAGTTAGCTTTTCGGTTGAAAAAAATAACAGTGTTGCGTCGGCATTAAACCATATACACTTCCTTCGCCCACATTTTTAACACGACGACTACATTTAAATACATGCATGCATATACAGGGTGCGATGTGTAAATTGTCGTCATTTTATATAATTTCAGGCATGCGCGTTGTTTGTTTTTTTATTTTATCGACTGCACAATATAATAGGATCAATTGGGCACACACTGTGAGAAAAAGACCACAATGACACAATTCCCTCCGCCAGAAAGGACATGCTCTACTGCTTGGCATTCGCGTCGGAAGCTCCAATACAAACCTTTCGGAGTGTTTGGGTGTCAATCTGAGAACAGTGCAGAGGATTCGGAAAAAGTTGGATGAGCCTAATGGCGATTGGAGTGATCACTAGTGATGGCGACATTATTCCTCCTTTTTTTTAGCGGGAAAACACAAATTACACATAGTGATAAGTTAAAGCAAAATTTACACAATTATTAGAAAACATATATCTCTAACAATGCACCAGTTTTCGTCTGCCTAAAATTACACACACGCCGCACTCTACACAAAACAAATTTAAAAAGAAACACAAATATATCAGACTGCTAGGCATTATTGAGGTAAATCTCGTTTGCCACAGATGCTTTCAACTACGTCCGCACGTTTCCTTTATATAGGCTATAATAGGCCGGACAGTAGACACCAACAGAAGGCGAAGAGAGACTTCTCGCACGCATGGCTGACTGCCCGTCCAACCATTAGGCTTTGTAAACGACCTCCTGCAAACACAGTAAATGAACGGACCCTATCAACGCGACAAGCGCAAAGCGATAACTATCAAGCAGTCAGCCGGGGTTAAGCAAACTCCTTTCTTATGCTCTCACTTCACATCTAGTACATTGCACATTCAACCTGCTACAGTATACCACTTACCAGAGACATTTTTTATAACTTGTATATAAAAAAAATCTTTGGTCATTTTTCTAAACAAGCGTCCAAGTTTGTTTCTTCTACACCAAACAACGTCCGACCTCAAGATCAACACATTCATCTTCTCACAGGGCCTCAGACTCAATACGGAGGCCTACATCAAGCGCCTTGCAGAAGTAGTGCCGCCTCGGGTCAAGAGAGTGCCTGCTGGAAGACCCTATGTCTGGCAAGAGGACCTGCACCACGTCACACAATCAGGAGAACCCAGTCATAGCTGTCAGACAATTTCTGCGACCACATCACCTCTTACATCTGGCCACTTAACTTCCCAGACTGTAACCCCCTTGATTATTATGTGTGGGGCTCAGTTGAGCGAGAGACCAACAAAACTCCTTGTAAAACCAAAGATGAACTGAAGGCAAGGATTATGGCAGCATTCACCAACTTAAACAAGGAGACTATCCAGAAGAGTTGCAGGAGATTCCGAAGTCGTTTGGATGCCGTGCTTGAAACCAATGATGATTTTATTAAATAAATTTACTCTTTAATATTTCAAGATATTTTTGTTTAATTTTGGTAAATATATCTGTTAAAATGAGATGTTAGTATTATTTTCATTTTTGCGTAATTTAAATGACAATTTATCCATCGCACCCTATATAGATATGTGTGTGTGTTTCATATTTTTAGTGGGTACACGTTTTTTAGTTGCTATTCCTGTTTTTTCTTCTTTGTTTTTATTAAACAGTGAAACTAATAATAACAGTAATAATAATAATAACTGAGAAGCCCTACTAAAGAAAAATTGTACTTTCGATAGGAATCGAATCTGAATCCCTTTTTTTCCACTAAGGAAACTACTTTTTGAGCCCAAGTGTGCCTCTATCAGCTCGGCCACGGAGGCAAGGTTGGAATGAATGATTAATTCATTTTCTAAGTTTTATCAAAACGGTTTTTCCCTTACACTGCTATTACGATATACTCCCACAGCAATTTTTTTGTTTTATAAAGACATTTTTAGAATTTAATAACAAGAAAATACATAAATCCACTTTCATATTGTAGAGTTTGGTAATAGCAACAGACAATGCTCGACTGTAATTGAAGATGGGTTTGACTGAACAATATTTATTTCTGTAAAAAAATACAGAAAATGTGGCACAAGGCCTAAAAAATGGGGGTGGGGAAAAAGGACGGTCATCATCTGTCTTAATTTTAAAACTTAGCTAGACCCAACTACTCACCCAATCATACAAAACAATATTCCTACCACCAAAACGAGACATTCATACTTAGCTTTCTCACTACATCCACCAAAATACCTCATTGTCTCAATGAAATTCCTAAATAGTCCCCATATGTACAAATCTTTGTCTGTGGTGGGAGGGGAATAAACTGACTGACTAAACTCTGCTGGGCAAATTGGTAGGTGGTTTATATAACAGCCTGGGAAATTCCACTCGGTTACGGGCAAGTTTATTCTGTGAGTTATGATTGGCTGATGATTCCAGTGTAGATATTGTGCTCAATAAATACCCAGCATAATATCTACCTTGTGACTTTATTCAAGAGAGGGACATGTATTGAGTTACAAGCCTGTTTATTTTTGTCAGCCAACTGGACGCTTGTTGGAAACCTCCTTGCGAAGCTAAGTCTCACACTCTTTATTGCGAAAGTAATGGCTTTTATGGGGAGATGAGTTCTTTTTGGCCTGGCTGATTGTATGGGAGTAGTCTGGACAATGATCAGGCGATTTTTTGTAGCTGGGTGACGCTTGGTGATGTTGTCTCATTTTCTTTAGCCTGTCGGACATGCGTATTGGGCTACAACCTTGTTTATTTTTGTCAGCCAACTGGACGCTCGTTGGAAACCTCCTTGCAAAGGTGAATCTCACACTCTTGATTGTTCACATATGTTTGGGTTTTGCTAAAATTTTAAATATATTTTTAAACAATACAAATTTCCGACAGAGTATACAATTATAGCGGTGTCAAGGAAAAAAAAATTCTTTTGAAGCACCGTTTTTCTGTGGATACGAATGTTAAACTTTGTCATTATTTTTATTTTAGCGTAATAAGATCACTGATGGTTATTGAATACACAAGAAAATATGAATTAACATACAACGTTTAAAGAAAGTAATAAATTTTTATTAATCTGATAGATTTTTTATCACTTAAACGTTCTTTTTAGTGGATACTCGTATTTGAGTAGATGCTCCGTTTATTAAAAAGTATATTTATTTTCGTCTACATGCCTGAATTTTCGAGAAACCAAATATGCTGTTTAATAAATAAACGGAGCGTCTACTCAAATATAAGTATCCACTAAAATAACGCTAATACAACATTTCAGTGAATTGCTTCTCTTAGTCTGGGCTGGGACCTCTCTTCGACTATTTCCATGTTTTCATACTGGCTTAAAGCCAGGAGGGCTGTGGCGTAAGTATAAGGCGGAGAATTCCAAAAAGGAAAAGCAGAACTGTCATTATTAAAACCATGAAACTCCATCGGAGTGGTCATGTTCTGAACATGTGGTTCCTTGGTCATTTTCAAATATTCTTCCTCGGAAATAACACTCTCCATTCCGTACAAGAAGTAATTGGCATTCGGGATTCCTACTTTACGATTTGCAGGATAAACAAAGGGAAGAGTCTGCAAGGAAAAAAAAAGAATCATTTTCTGTTTTCGATGACAGTTAATTTGACGTGTGGCGGAGCTGACATTTATTTATATCAAACTCCAAATAAATTATCTTCCACCACCAAAAATATAGCCATTTCAGAGTTAAAAAGGTCGCAATTAAATTCAAACAATCAAGAATATACATGAATAAAAAGAATGAGAGGACAAAGTCATGGTTTCAAATAAAAATCTTATTATAATTGTGCTTATCCTTTCCTTCGTTAGTTGGCATGACCGTTATGCCTTGCCAATTCCTCATAAAAAATAGACTACACCGTTTTGAGAAAAGACACTACTTGGTTTTAGTGAGAAAATGAAAGAAAGACGTTATGATAAAAGTGAAGACAGAGAATTCAGCTGATAAGGACAGATACTACACTTTGATCTTAGCCAAAAGACCGAGAAGAGATTGTATTTTCTTGCCGCCGCTCGCTGGCGGGATGTGACACAAGGTCAGTTTAATGTGGGGAGTGCGAAACGTGAACAAGATCCCAAAATAGTTGCGCTGGCATCAGTATTACTATTAGTCCCCTTCTTTAGTGCAATGAGGGAAGTACTGCCGTTGGCAGACCGGAAATAATATTTTCAGTTGCGCTCTAACCACAGAGACACAACTGAGTTGCTCTCTGCCCGAAGACAGAGGCCTTGCTGCGGGATGAGATGTAGTTTATCTGCCCGAGGACAGATACTACACTTTGATCCTAGCCAAAAGCCGAGGACCAATGGCGAACGCGATAAAAGCACCATTTTTCAGAAGCGTAGAATCGAATGACGGAAATTGAGAAAGGTAATCCCCCAAAATCCAGTTAACATAAATAAAATAATATCGTCTACTGAATTATTTTTAAGTTATTATTATTAAGAAATATGTTCGTAAGACGGGGATTACGCTAGTAGCAACACTTTGTTTAACAAATAATACAAAATATTTTAAGATAGTCTTGGATGACGACGATAAATGAAATGGACACGTTACGCCACGTCTCTTAGACTAAAAGCAATGGCAACCAAATGTTACACATACAAATGACGGGTGTAAGGAAAATGAATGAATTTCAACAAGACGATATTTTACATTTTTATTTTATGCAACTGAGTAACAATGTAGAGAAAATACACTAGTATACAGGCAAAAGAAAGAAGACATTAAAAGTTAAGAAGTATGTGGATGATACACGCGTCTGTGCATGTGAAAGTTCAGTTACTAAGGAGAAATATATCCCCATGCCAAAGAGACGGTCCCAGTGGGTGTCGTCGCTACGGAATGATGATCGGAAAAGAGAAAGAAGAGCGAGGTCCCGGCGGATGTTCTCGCTTCAGCATGCTGGTCGGAAAAGTGAGAGATGAGCGAGGTCCCGGTGGATGTTCTCGCTTCAGCATGCTGGTCGGAAAAGTGAGAGATGAGCGAGGTCCCGGTGGATGTTCTCGCTTCAGCATGCTGGTCGGAAAAGTGAGAGATGAGCGAGATCCCGGTGGATGTTCTCGCTTCAGCATGCTGGTCGGAAAAGTGAGAGATGAGCGAGGTCCCGGTGGATGTTCTCGCTTCAGCATGCTGGTCGGAAAAGTGAGAGATGAGCGAGATCCCGGTGGATGTTCTCGCTTCAGCATGCTGGTTGGAAAAGTGAGAGATGAGCGATGTCCCGGCGGATGTCCTCGTTTCAGTATGCTGGTCGGAAAAGTGAAAGATGAGCGAGGCCACCGTAGCGTGTCGTCGCTACAGCATGGAAAAGAGAGGGAGAGAAGTGTCCCGTTTTTATAGCTGCCTAACAGCGCCACCTGATGAGTTCTTGGCGAAGCTAAGTGAGGGTAACCTACAGATATTTCTGAGAGAAAACAAACTTATAGTCGGTCGCTAGAGAAAGGAAGAGTTGTGTGTGTGGGGGGTGTAATAGCGGCGGACATCGTTCCATATATAGGAATTAGTAGAGTTAAACAAGCATTTTTTTTTTTCTTTTTTCTTCCACCATCATTTTTTTTTTATTTCAAAATAATGCGTCCCGATTGGTCATTAAATCTACGAAAGGCGTTTCTTTTCAAGCTATAGTAACTCGTCCATCCATTGGTGTCGGCTGAATCCTTTGAAATCCTATTTAGAAATCTTTTAGAAATGAATAAACTTTTATTATTGAATCTAAAATAATTGTTTATTAACTTGAATTTATGCAGAACCACATATGATGGATTCGTTTTAAGGTGCTACAAACTATACAACGTTTCGTCTTTGTTTAAATTTGACATTTTACCCCATGCGAGACTCAAGAGAGGGTTACTAAAAGAGATTGTTTAAAGTGTGTACAAGGCGGGATCAAAAAGTGCGTATTATGAGGATATGTAGGATAGATACGGTTGAACCTACACTTAAAGAGCTTAAGGTAGAAATGATCAGGGAAGCATCCTCTTGGGAGTCTGTTCCACAATGAAAAGTGGCATCATGCTTCACCAAGTCAATGTGAAAAGATATCATATGATGTCGTCAGCAAAAGAGACAGACTGAAGAGTGAGCTACATAATGGGGATGTCAAAATCAAGCAGAGAAATTAAACTATCTGGGTAGTGTAGCAACAGATCACAGAAAATATGACACAGAAAATCGAAGGTGTATAAAAACAGTGAAAGCTGTCTTTCAGAAACTAAGCAAAGTATTAAGAAGTGGGACATTTCAGTTAAAAAAAAATGAAAAGATTGCTGAAATGCCATGTAATAACTAATCTCCAAAATGGCAGTGAATACTGCACTATTTCCTCACAGATTAACATATTTGAATCGACAGAGATGTGGTTCTATTGACGAATCCTAAAAATACTGTGGACGGAACATATGGGTAACGGGACAGTTTTATAGAAATCTGGAATAACGAATAAACTTATACTTACAATCAGGACGAAACAGTTGAAATTACTGGGATACATAACAAGAGAAAAGGATGGTGAATTTAACACGCAAGGGGGGGGTGCATATTGAAGGCAAAAGAAACGGGGAAACACTGATTAACAAAGGAATTTGGGTGAATGGGTGGTAGAACAAGGATAAAGAAAGATAGTAAAGGATCAAAAGTTGCTTAGAGCAATAAAAGAAGCTATGGAGAGTCATGATCACCCATGTCCTGATGGGACACGGCACATAAAAGAAGAACGTTAACGAAAATCCAGAATCTATGTGACATATTTATAGGTCTACCATTCGTCCATGCTTCGAATATTAACGCCACATATGATCTGGTGTTTCTGCTATATATTTAGAGATTCTTGATAAAATTCAAAGAAAAATCTGCAATGTTATTGGTCCTTACCTGACATGTCGGCTTCAGTCATTTTCCTACCGCCGTAATGTAGCTCCCCTGTACCTTTTCTATAATTATTTTCATGCTATTTGTTGTGATGAGCTTTGATCTATTATATGTAGACTTTGTGAATATAAGCGCAGTACTAGATTGGCGGCAAGGTCTCATCATTTTACTGTTGTATTGGTTAGATGTAAGTGTCAGTTCTATGCTAACTGTTTCTATTCTCACACTTCTAGCCTGGGGAATTCACTTCCGGTTTCTTGCTTTCAAGTCAACTTTGATCTTCAAAAATTTAAATGCAGTGACAATTCTTATCTACTGTCTTCTTGATGCTTCTACTTTTATTGATCTTGCTCCTTAATAATGTTTTCTTTTTCTTGTTCTTTCACACTCAATAACCTTTTGTGTCTTAGTGGCTTTACTGCCTTGGTTGGGGTGAAATGATTAAAAGCATCTCCTACACAAGGTTAACGAATATGTTATTCGTGAAATGCACAAGAAAATATGTCCACTTACTGATACGTGACTTGCAGAGATAACCGAATGGGACTACCATCAGCAGGTAAACATTTTCGTATATTCTCATTAACCTGTCATAGTTATCCGTACATTTTATGAATGACTCAACCATTAATCATATGTAGGAGTGCATTTATAATATTTACTTCGATATCCCCTCAGGAATTGCGCAATCATGTTTCTGCACAGATTTCATTTCTTCATTATCTGTGAATTGTCATGACTTCTTGGGAAAGATAGTGGAATGGTTACTTGTTATCTTCCTCAGTCAGTTATGTGTCATGCGTGATATACGCTTGGGAGATCATGTATCGAAAGATACATGAGTGACGAGGCAGTTTTTATTCACGCAGTAGATTGCTATTTCTTTCTGCGGTAGACAAGTTGCCATTCATAGCTATGGAACCTGGCCTGTCCTGCTATTTACGCATAGCTGGAGGGAGAAGAAGAGGATTCATACCTTTCTCAAGGGTATTAGCACGTAAGTTTCGAATTCAGAATAGTCTTTCTCCAAGATTCCGTTTTATTATTATCCGTGAATTTCCATGACTTCCTGGGATAGATGGGGGAATGGTTTCCCGTTGCCTTCTCCGTTTTTTTTTTTAATTCAGAGTAGGCCTTCTCCAAGATTCTTTTTCTTAATTATCTGTGAATTGTCATGACATCTTGGGAAAGATAGTGGAATTGTTTCCCGTTGCCTTCTCCGTGGTCTTGAAGTCGTCTTTCTCTAAGATCCTTTTTCATCAAAATCTGTCGTCCTGCGTATGACGATAAACTACATCGGCATTCTGGGTAAGACGATAAACTACGTCCAACAGCAAGGCCCTTGATCAGAAAGTTTTGAGGAGCGTTGGACCATCTCTTAATTGCTGCTGTTCCCAGGTCCTCCCTGATCCGAGTGGCAGCACCTGTCAGGGTCCCAGTTATGGGCCAATAGTTAACCTCCACCCCCCTCAAAGGGGTCAAAACACTATGAAAGTATAAAATTAGGTTTTAATACCAGCAATACTTTTTGGAAAAATTATTACCTGCAGTACATTTTTGAAAAAGAAAATAATACCAATGCATTTTTGGAAAAATAAAATTACCAGCAATAAAAATTTTGTCGGCATTAAATAACCCATTGAGGTTGATAAGCCATAAAACAAACCAAACCAAACCAAACCAAACCAAATCATTATCTGTGAATTGCCATGACTTCATAGGAAAGATAGCGGAGTGGTTTCCCGTTGCCTTCTTCGTGGTTTTGAATTCAGAGTAGTCTTTCTCTACAAATTCCTTTTTTTTAATTATCTGTGAATTGCCATGACATCTTGGGAAAGATAGTGTAATGGTTTCTCGTTGCCTTCACCAAGTTTTGATTTTAGATTTGTCTTTCACGTAGACTGGGTGTCAGCAAAGCTAGAGAAACAAGTCTAAATTTGCTATTAATGTCTAGATTGGGTAAGAAGAGAGGGATCCATCATTTTCTCATGGGAATTAGTGCAAAAGTGAACACGAATTCGTAATTTGAACTCGGTTCGTCGATTCCCTTTACCGCCAATAGCCGTTACGGTACTCACACATCGCCGTGAAATGTTATCAAGTTTCATTTCTTAGTAAATGAATATTTTATTCCTAATTGTAAAAAGGTATTTGCGAAGAGTGCATAATCGGGTGTAATTTTAAGAAATACCCTTCGTCTGATATGTCACAAAAAATCATTTGTGTTTTGGGAGATTTTTGATAAAAGACATTGATATCATTGTGAAAGTCGAAAGAAAATATAGCTTCGCCCGAAACACGCTATAAGACGTCATTGTATGTTTATTTTTGCTGTGGTTTCAGTTCAGTCGTCTGAAACCACGTCAAAAATAAACATACAGGCAACAGGAAAATAAATAAAATGTGCAAGATTACTGGTAAAAATAGACACTGGAGCAAATGGCAATATATTACCAGTCCAAATATATAAACAGAAACTAGTGAAAAAAAATGCCATTTTAATAGCTTATAATATGACCATCACCCCACGAATCGGTACTAATGTATATATGACCCAGGCTCATGGCCAGAGGAAAAATGTTCAATGCGGACACAAACGGGCCAGCGATCCCCGATTCTAGCGAAGTTATTTGATCACTGCTTGAAGGAGAAATCATTCTCAAGCTTCTAGAAACTGTCAAGCATATGCCCGGTTTTCAAGATCGGAGGCGAGCGCTCATCTCCCTCTCGCTATAGACCCTTCAGTTTCCTCAGTATAATTAGCAAGCTTTCTGGGGCTCTAATCAACGAGAAGATTGTTGAGCACATAAATAAAATCAGATTCTTTGAGCGACAAGCAGTACGAGGTTCGATCGTTGCGATCCACTGCTGATATCCTACCTACCTTTACCCAAGGAGTCAGTAAAGCTCTAGAAAACAAATACACCCCAAGGACCATTACATTAAACATGTCGAGCGCTTTCGACAAAATGTGACACAAAGAGTTGCTGCTCAAGCTTTCCAACTACGAAATAACTGTAATTATTCTCAATAATAAATTCCTTCCTAAGGGGGGAAGTCCCTGCAAGTAGTTGCTAACGAACGGTTCTCCGTGGCCCTAGCAATCGATGCAGACATCTTCCAGTGATTACTTCTCGGGCCAACCCGATTTTGACTTCACATAAAGGATCTGCCTAAAAGTGTACTCAGATCATTTGTGAATATCAATGCCGAAGATACAATGATATATGTGTGATATGTGTGTGTACCTCCAAAACTCGTGATGACCAGAGATTGGCAGCTGATCTCTCATCTGATCAAGCTCTAACATCTCAGTGGGGGAAAAACTGGCTGGTTACATTCAATGCCTCGAAAACCAAACTAGTTTCCTTCCTTCATCGCTGATCTACCTCCAGTGTCGATGAATGGATCTCCCCTCGGGAAGGCCTCGTGTCTTGTTAAACTATTCGGCTGTAAACTAAGTCCAGACCTCGTAGAACTCGTACATACGACCCATCGCTAAAGATGCAGGGAAATGGAAAATGGTCGTTTCCCTGTACCGCTCCAATAAGTTCCTTGCTGTCCTCTAATTTTACAAGGGCCAGGTCAGGCCTAAAATGAAGTACTGCTGTCATAATTGGGCAGAAGCTGCCTAGCCCTCACTTTCCAGTCTCGATAGAGTTCAAAAGCGTCTCCGCATCTTTGGAGATGACAAATTATTTTCCACCTTGCAAGTCCTCTCTTTCAGACAGATTGCTGCAAGCCTCTCACTGCTCTACCGCTACTTCCATGGAAAGTGCTCAGACGAGCTACATTCCTTGGTTCCGCCAGGTTTAACCTTCACGGCTAGGACCTGCCATACCACTCACATTTTAGTAAAGCACCTACATTCCCTCTGTACTCCATTGATAAGTTCTACTCGATTAGCTTCTTCCCGCAAACCCCTGCTCTGTGAAACCGACTCCCAAGAAAGAGGATGTTTCTCCGATCACTACAATCTTAACCTGTTCAAGTCTAGGGATAACTATTATCTTCCCCACATATCCACATAAACTGTACCTCTTATTCTGTAATCCTCTACCTCGAGTGACCCCCAGGCCTTGTACAGGGTGAACTGTAAAAAAAGAAATAAAAAAGGACTACCAAGTTGCCGAAAGCTGAACATGATAACACTACATTGTGAGATAAGAGAGACAACCAAATCAACCATTAAAAACCTGAGAGGGGTATACCCCAACAAATTTGACACTTCCCAGGCTAATTCCGTAACATCCTTAAATCAGCATTAGCACCAGTCATACACGACCCACGAAAATAATAATAATAATAAAACGAACTAGATAAGATCCAGGAAGGATTACACGCATTCTAGGCAAAACAAAAGAACTGTTATGGCTATGATACACGAGACCTACCTGTTCTGCTACCCATGCTGTCGGCAGCAGCCGCAAAGACAATCTTCCCAGGTTACTTCCGGCCAACAGCTCCTGATAACTATATCGTATGTAAACCTTGTAAAGACAGGAGTCCACAAAATAAATACAGTAAAACCTCGAATTAATGGTCCCGGAACCAACAGACTCCAGATTTAAAAGAGAAAATCCACTGAAATTATAGTGCCCGGCTGAAACTGAAAACGTCCGCACGTAGCGAGCAAAATCCGTTAGTTCCAGAATTGGCCGCTGTTGTATACTGGCGCACCGATTAGTAGTTTGTTTACTTAACCGCTCGTCGTGTACACTACACACATGCATCGTCTCTCGAACATTTTATATTGATTTTGGTACAGTATACAGTATTGTTATGTAGTAACTTAAAAATAAAATACACATACATATATACTGTATTTACATTTATTTACAATAATTTTGTACTGAGTATTTTTAGGTCACGAAAAAAGTGCTTCAAATTAACGGACAAACAGCTTTAACGAACGAATCCCCCATTAGTCCGTTAAATTGCGGTTCCACTGTATGCATAAAAAGTAATAAAGTTACAGTATGTTCCAACTTATTACATCATCTTGCGCAAGATTGCATGGCAATTAAGAGATAATAAAGGAAAAGTAATTTGTGGTGAGCCGTAATCGTTCACGTCCTGAAGGGATATGGTATTTAAATAAATTTGAAGATTGTTTTGGGGAGTTTCATTCGGATGTTTTAGGTATGCCATTAAACGTATTCTTTTCTTCGATTCGACGAATTGATGATTAAATGTTCTCTTGGAAAAATTTCCATATTTGTTATGTTTGGAAAATCTTCAGATAATTTCGCTTTTCATGAAAAGGAAAAAAAAAAAAATTAAAAATTCTAAGGGAGATAACTTTAGCTTTTTCATGTTAACATTCTACTTTAAACACGGAATATATCCCTAAATAAATAGCCTCTCACTTGAGAAAATAAGCACACAAGCTTCTTGTTGTCAACAATGGTGATACAACATTAATGTTTACATAATTTACTACGCCTACTTGTATGTAAAAGAATCATTCCAGATCCAACATTTACAATAGAAGAGTTCTATTTTCTAATCCAAAAAGGGTACAAGAAAAATTGTAAGTTATTTGGTTTACTCACTGCCTCAGCTTCTACGTGCTTTCCGATATGAATGTAAGTCTTTTAAAATGATATTATAAATGTATGCATGCGATTGATTGTAGTAAAATTTTATACGTCAGTTGTTTTGTTTCTTTTGATTGGTTGTTTGATCTTAACACGCCAAATAGCAAATTTCATTCAGTAACCCTTTTTTTCTTTAATAAAGAAACTGTCAAGTTTTTACTCACCGTCGTTCCTTTTACTGAACCTGAGTAAAAAGCATTCGACGGCTTGAATTGTAAATTGAAGATATTCTTCTGAAGATAATCAATCGTTTTATTCACAGTTTCCCGAACAAGACTCGGAGTTTCTGGTTTGGAAAAATTATAGACATTAATTAGTCATAATCGCAATTAATATAGTAAATAAAATGACAAAACTTTAATTAAATTTAAAACCGCATATACAGTGCAACCTCGGTTCTCGAACGTCTCACATGTCGAACAAATTAGTTTTCGAACAAATGAAAATGCCTCAGTTATCGAACAAAATCCCGGTTCTCGAACAACATTGCCAAATCGAGTTAACAAGGAACGGAATAATTTCTGAGTCGACCGCCGTGTTGTATACATTCGTGTATTGTGTTGTGCTTTTTTTTTCCAATTTTATTGTACTGTGACTTTTTTTCTCTACATTGATACCTAATGGAAAAATAGTTTCGGTTTACGAACATTTCAGGGTACGAACGGCCTTCAGGAACGAATTAAATTCGTGAACCGAGGTTCCACTGTATTAATTTTAAAACAAAGTTATTTATATGTAGAGGTGTGTGGAAGTGTATATCTTTGAAGAAGAGTTGGCCGAAAGGTTCCTTAAATGCTTTTTTTAATGCTTTCATTGGTATTATTTAAAGCTTTGTAAAACTTTTTTGTATTACCAGGTTATTGTTTATATATATATATATATATATATATATATATATATATAATGAAGAAATATAATTTTAAGGTGTGCTATATTGCTATATTTATAGGATAAAGTGCTCAATATCAGAGATAGAGCGTATGTAAATATAAATGTAAAAAGAACACTCAGAGGCGACGCGCCGATTGCGTTTAGCATGAAATAGATTTACATACGCTCTTTCTCTGATATTGAGCACTTTATCCTATAAATATAGCAATATAGCACACCTTTAAAATGATATTTCTTCATATATATATATATATATATATATATATATATATATATATATATATATATATATATATATATTGGGGAGTGTGTGGGCATTTAACATACTCTTGGAATCTTTATATGCTAATTATTTTAACTTTAAAATTTTAAATATGATTACAAAATGATTGCCCTTCAAAAATCTGCCTCTTCAGTCATGTATCGAAAGATACCTGATCGCCTAAGCGTGTATCACGCATGGCACATAACTGATTGATTTGAACCGTGTATATTTTCTAATAACTGTAGTAGTTTAAATCGACAAACAATTTAGATTTGAAATTTGATCATCTTACCGTCAGTGAAGACACAATTGCCGAACTAGTATTTAATAAATTGTGATTGATTTTCGATTCTATTTGGAAGACATTAGAATATCAATATTTTTGTATTTAACACAATAAATCAATAAAGAATAAACAATTTTAGACTATGATCTTTTATATTTAAAATCTCTATATTGAAAATTAAAGAGAAGTTTGTATATTTCTTACGGTGAATCCAGTTATTGCGCTTTGAAGTCTCGTTGTACATGGTCCAAATTCTCTGTAATGCGTTCGTGGCCATAGCGGTCGAAAAAAGCCGATCTTCTGCCTTGTTCTAAAAACGAGAGAGGAAAGTAATAATAGTTATAGACAGAATTTTATAAATATATCTTGGGTTATAGAAAAAAAATGTTTGTTCGGCTTATTTAAAGTAAAACATTAAAGTAAATTTTGTTGGAAGTACAACATTCAATAATGTCTGCGTACAGGTCAGACATTCTCAGCGAAAAAAAATAAATAAATAAAATAAGGTAAATGAAAGAAATCATGAAAGCAGTTTGATACGACAATACAAAAAAGATAGAAAAAAGTGTGGGAAAAGAAAACAATTAGAAGTGTACTGTTTATCGCTCATCACTCTTTTGAACTCGATCAAAGGGGGTTAAATAATTTGTTATTACCATCACCGAAACGTTGCAAGTATCTCTATCTATAAAAGGCAGGATGTGTGTGTGTGTGTGTGTGTGTGTGTGTGTGTGTGTGTGTGTGTGTGTGTGTGTGTGTGTGTGTGTGTGTAACGAATGCACGGCCGCAATTTTCGACGGATTTGCACCAAAATTTACATGCACATGCTCCAAGTTAGTGGGAAGGCCAAGACTGACTTTGCATTTCCCAACACCCATCGATAGTGAAAATAATCGATTTTTCATGCTTCTACGGCAGTTTTCATGTAGTTTGCGGCCATTTTGTACTGGCCAGAGTGAGAGCCTATAGCTGGCTGCCAAGAATAGACAGGAAGATTCTATTGGACAGCGTGGGAGCCAACAGCTGACTGACACGAATGTTAACTAGCATGCTAGTAATAAAAAAAAATCGATAGCTGCATTCGTCACAAGTGTGAAAAATTTAAATCTGCATGGCACTTTACTCCAATTGGCTCATTTGCTTGCTTAAACTCAACGTTGATTCTGATTCCGCAGAACTGGGTTGGGTGTGAAAAAGTATTTGTTGTTAACATTCTTTTTTCATTCGGTTTTTCCAGTTACGAATCCTTTTTTAAAGCTGATCATTTTGTGTTCATTTTGTTTAGTTCTTTTTTTGTAACAGATGTTTAGTATAGAGCTTAGAAAAAAATCGCAGTGTGAGATAGGCAAGAAGTAAGTCATGTAGCAACATCAGCACGGCAAAGGGCACTCCTTTAAAGGCAAGGAAGGGCAAAAATATTTTAAGTCAAGTGATAGCGATTGCTGTATGAGTCGTACAATTTTTGAATCAAGCCCGGGCAACACCGGGCCATGCTGCTAGTAACAATTAAGATGTGCATGTCGGTCAGAATATCAAAGCTTTTTCAAAGTTTTTCAGAATCTTCTTTGTCTTGGAGATCAAAATATCCTTTTTTTTTTAAATCATCAATTACTATCCCCAGCACGCACTTGAACCAACTATATTATTATTATTATTATTATTATTATTATTATTATTATTATTATTATTATTCTATTTACTTTTGATTTCTGGTGTGTACAGATTTCTGTCCCGCCCAGAAACATAAGGTTAGAAATGGCATCATGACATTTTCCACTGACCAATTAAAAAAACACACACAAACATATTTTACATAGCTAAAGCTCTTCGTAAGGTGTGTGCTGTATTCGTGAGAACAATTTTTTGTATTTCTTTAAGGCATGGGCTGCCAAGAATCCATTCAGTGAGTCTATTGGAATCTTTTCCAACCAATCCAGGGATTGTTGATGTTCCCATGTGCCACATTTTTGAGATTTCGATTTCAAGGTTCTTGTATTTTAATAGCTTTTTGAAGATCTTCAAAGATACATTGCAGTCTGTGGGGACTGCCATATCAATAAGAAGGCAATTTTTTTTTTGTTTGCGATCTTTAATCACAATGTCTGGGCAATTACCTTTGATTGTTCTGTCTGTGTGTATTGTGTAGTCCCATAAAATTGTAACAGGTCCTATCTCCGTAACCGGGTCTGGGTTGTGTTCATACCAATTATTATTATTATTATTATTATTATTATTATTATTATTATTATTATATCTACTTTTTTCCAAATTAAACATGAAGAAGAAATGATGTTAAAAGTACATTTTACATTCGCACGTGATTTTCACCATTACAAAACTATCACTTTTACCCAAACAATTCTTTAAAAGCATTCACAGAAAAACAATAAAAAAAACTGAGCAAACTTCATAGACACTTCTAAGGTTTCCCTAATATCATGCAAAAGAACTGGGAACTATTCCATCAATCTAATATTTTACGGGTGTACCTCAGTAATTCCGTGGCCTAATGGTAAACAAAAAGCATTTACGTTACACAACAAATATTTATTTTTCAACATCTCTATCTTTGTTAATGCACTTAAATCGAACATTTCTTCGTGAATATTTCTGATCCAAATTTCAGCTAACAGGCTACGGATTTATTGATCTTCCTGTGTGTCTCAATGCATATTAGCACAAACGCGCATTCACGCAATGATTAAAATAAATTTGTGGCTCAGTGCTTTAGTGAAACGTGTACGGTAGAGTGGTTATAATATAGAATAAAATATTCTCACTATTGGCTTATTGAATAATGTCCGATCTGCATTCCCAATGAAATCGTCGTAGTAAACTTCAGAATTGATCCGAGTGGCAATGGAGAGGATGCGGGTTGTCACGTGACCGCGTAGTGCTTCGCCGAACATCACCCTCGTGTCCTCCAGGGCCTGCAATTATTCAACAGAACGAAAAAAAAATTACTTTATTTACTCTCAGACGAATCAATTATTTATAGTTGTAATGTTTCAGTCTCTTTTATAGAAGAGTTCCCTTCATAAAAGGAATTTCACTTCAAAAATCAGGACGATAACGAAAAAGCTGACTTTATTTTAAGACAATGTTTTTCATAATTAACATGGCGGATAACTGCTATATTGTTAGATATATTAGGACATGATCAGTGCCGGATTTACCTGCTTACGGCCTCAAAATCTAGTGGGCCTCCAGCCAAGGTGTATAATATTTTTGATACTATCATAGGACTTTCTTACATATGCTGTCATAACGCATTGTAAAATCTAAATAATGCTTCAGTGAAACACTTGTCATCATCCTCGGCTTTACTCAAATTGTTTAATTTAACACTCTTCCATTTTCCTCTCCTCGCGAGAATGGGGATTTTGAGGGGCCTCACAAGTGATATAGCCTTTACCTAAATCCGTCCCTGGGTATGATGTTATAAATAGTATATATTAAAACTAGCAATAATACCCAACAGTGCCCGGTCTAAATCCCATTCCATTGTTGTTCTTCGTAATGCATTCGTTTCTTTCCTTCAGATATCTTTGTATGTATTTAAGAGCCCTCAATAGTTACAAGAAGAGGTGAAATATATTAAAAATACATTTAAGCTACTCTAATAGCTTAATTACCGTATTTTGCGGCCTATTGAACGCAGGGTAATATTTAAAAAAAAAAATGCACCCAAAAATTACCTTGCGTTCAATATAGCAGTATCATGTGTATGAGAGGGATATGAAGACCGCGAAAAAAATGGGGTTGACCAGGAATCACCCTACACGCAACTCACCAATCAACGACATGCCACTAGCGGACTGCCGGCGTGTTCGTCTCGGCAGTGTTACCACTGGCGGACCGCTAGAGGCCCACTGGTGGCTGCTACCAGAGGACCGCTGGCGTTGCTATCGGCAGCCCATCAGCGAGCCACTAGCGGCTTGCGTGTAGGGCAGTGTGCGCATAGAGCTTAGCTTTGAAACTAGTACTCCTGGAAGTGAACAAACATGACATCAATAATAATATCCCTGAAAAATTCAACCAGGAAAAAGAAATTAAGAAATATTTTTCTGTTTGTTTTATAGAAGTACCAGATTTTATAAAAAATATTTGCTTTTATTGGCATATTGCCGCTTGCTTTGTGTATATTTATGTTGATATACAGGTATTGGAATTTGCTTTTCTGCATATATGGTATGGGAATTCATTTACAAACAAGTGCTATATTTCTTCTTTTTTTATCTATTACCATATGGTGGTTGCTGGACCTATGGGGTATTGTAATTAGCCAAAAACTACTGCACAGGCTATGGTCTCTGATGGAACCTCAGTTGTGTGGTGAGAGGACCACACTCTACGCACTTTCCTTCCATGAACTGCTTTAAACAACGGAAGCGAGCGAGAACATTATGACTTAGTGTGCGTGAGTGACAGAGTTTAAGGTCTATCTGTGTCAAGTGGCTTCACTCTGCGTACCTTAGCTCCGTTACCATAGCCACAGTCCTGATACTTTTTTTTATCAGAAGTAAAAAGAAGAGGGTTTAATGTTTATATTAATTATAAGCACATGTCCTTAGAGAATTTAAATTACCAATTTCTTTTTTTGTTTGTGTGTTTCGTTCCAGAAAAATCTACACTGAATTGTAAAATAAAAATAAAAAATGTAATAGAACTAAGGCATTATTAGAAAAACGTTTAATTGCTTTTATAAATAAAATATATTATGAACTTTCTTAAGAAAAATATTTTTTATGAATAATGAATTTTCGTAAGAATTATTTTCAGTCTTTCTTAAATTTGAATTAGAATGATTTATAAAGCTTTAAATCTTTAAAAATGCTGTATTGATTTGTATATGTTAGGTGGTATTGCTATAAAGTAAAAACTATATATACTAATCTAATCATAAATGGCAAATCTACAGTTTAGCGACACCCAATATTTTAAAAAGAATTTTGAAGTGTGTGTGTGTGTATATATATATATATATATATATATATATATATATATATATATATATATATATATATATATATAAACGTGCCAGTTTTTGTAAATACGGACGCCCATATACGGCATTATCAGTAAATAGGTCCGGTAACTATCAATCAGTAATGTGCCATGCGTGATACACGCTTAGGCGATGATGTATTTTTTGATACATGACTGATTTTTTTCCCCGCAGTAGGTTGCCATTTCTTTCTGCGGTAAACCAGTTGACATCCAAGACTATATAACCCGGTCTGTCCTGCTATTTATCCATAGCTGGAGGGAGAAGAAGAAGATTCATACCTTTCCCAAAGCACGTAAGTGAATGTAATGGATTCGACTGGAATTCGAACTCGGCTCTCCGATAACTATAGTAAGTTTAAAGCCAAATTACTTAAAGTGCTTATCAAGATAGTTATCAACACCTCATAAAAACACCTATTTCTATATTAAAAAGATGATTTTCCGCTATATTTAAACAAAAAATAAGTAACATTTGATTCAAATTAAGTTAATTAGACTTTAAATCGGCTAATTTTCCTCGAATACAGTTTAAGAAAAATCTACTTTATTTTTGAAAGATTTTTTTTAATAAAGGGAATTACGTTGCGCTGAGCGATTTGTAAATATGGCTAAAATCAGCGATTTTTAGCGATAAAAAAAAAACTCATTCCAATCCATTTAAATTCGGTTTGAAATGCATCAAAGTATTTTTCTTATTGGAAATATTAAATTTAATCTATTAGCTAGAAATTAAAACTAAGACAAAAGATTTTTCTTTTTTTTTTAAATTCATTTTAAAACTAAGGTATCGGTTTTTTTTATTGTATCTACTTAATGTAATGAAAGTCCGCTTAAATTTACGATGATCTATGACAAAAGACAAAACTTGATATTACCCACAATAGTAAAAGTAGATTCGAAACATTATACCACTGAGCAACATTCTCGTCGTCGTCGTCGTCGTCATAAAAGTAGCGGTGTTAAAACTGGATTATTTGTACTTTGTGTCGTGGTTATCATTTTGCTCACGTAAGCAAACGCCGTCTTTATTGACGCTCAAGTAATGCGATCTAGTATACAATTTAGTTTAAAATAGTAGTTGGGGGGGGTATGCAAGATTCGACGAACATAAATGTTTACTTCCAAAAACTACTGCTGCCCACTTACCGCGTGAGGTAATTTGCCAGTGAGCGCGTGTCTTTCAAGAAGCGAGGAGGTTCGTGCAACGAACCAATAGAATTCAAGTACGGAAGGATAGTAAAGTAGAGCCAAGTCAGGACGCTTCGCCATATCAGTCTTTAATTGCCACGTGACCATTCGGGATGTGTTCCTGTAGATTTTCTGGAAATGAAAAAGAAGATAAAATAGAGTTCTCAAGTGTCATATTTCTAAAAAAAAAAAAAAAAAGATGGAGTTAATAGACAAATTCTTCGTTACTGTGTTTGCATTGTTTTATTCTGTAATGGAACAAGACTAATAATTATTTTTACAAACTCTTGGTATTATCTGCCCAGACAAACTGTACTGACTCGCGTTAAGTCCAGGTAAGTATATAGTCGTTGACTTTTAAAAGAAATAATCAATAACTGTCCAAAGCAGAGAAAGGAATTTCGTCTTTTGAAGTTTTCCAATATTTGCACACAATCTTAAGTTGAAGCACTTATCCTCGCGCGTGTTGAGAAAATAGAAAAGGAACGTATTGTCAATCATGCAGTCGAAAAGAAAGAGAGCTAAGATTTCAAAAATCGCGCCGCCTGTAATTTCAGGGGTGATAATCCTAGAAAAATAATTTTCAGAATATTTTGGAATTTGGTGGAGTAATTATTAGTTGATATTCACATTTGTACAATACAAAGAAAGCCGATTCGGCCTCTCTCTGAAGTACTCAAGGCAAGCTTCCGCGTTCTGTTAACTTTCTAACAATTTAACCTCTAGGTAGAATTCTTACCAGAATTCATTATTGGCGGCCACAATCTTAACAATATAAAATATGAAGATGACACATTGATAAAAGATGCGGAAAGTAAACTACAAGCACTCCTACAGAAAGAAGTAAAGAGAGGATAGATGAAAGGACGAAATGTAAATTGTAAAAAGATAGAATGGACTGTTGTCAGCAAAAGGAATAGCCCAAGATGCTGTTGGATTACTGCCTCCTGACGATAATTACAAAGCAATTTCTTGGTGACTTTCATAGTGAAAAGACCTATTCTTTTTGCTCTCGTCGGCATGTAAATACCTCAACAACAGACACTGAAGGTTGCTTTGAAATTTTTACATTTAATTTAATTTTTCTTTTTTTCTTTTTGCAAAATTTCCTATCAATGTATTTGTCCATATTTATTTGTTTAAATTCCATGTCCTGTTTCTTATCTTCGCTCGGACTCGATAAGACCGGCCATATTGTTTGCAGGCTAAACGTGCCAGGGACATAAAAAAAAAACTCATCAAAAGTGTTGAGACCCGCAACAATGCGAACTACAAATTGGAGACACCAAAATCAAGCAATTAAAAAATATTTATATATTTGGGTAGTGTTTTAACAGAGGGCGGAAAATGTGATACAGAAAGCCGAAGGTGTATTGGAATAGAGAAAGATGCCTTCCAAAAGCTAAGCAGACTATTAAGAAACAGTAAAATATTTGGGAAGTGTTTGAACAAGGAGAGAAAATGCGATACTGAAATCCGAAGGTGCATTGGAATAGAGAAAGATGCCTTCCAAAAGCTGAGCAGAATATAAAGAAACAGTAAAATATCTGGGAAGTGTTTGAATAGAGGACAGAAAATGTGATTCTGAAATTCGAAGTTGTATTGGAATAGAGAACGATGCCTTCTAAAAGATACGGAAAACATTAAGAACAGAAAAAAATCGTTAGAAATAATGAAAAGAGTCTTGGACTGTTCATAACGGTCTTTCTAT